TATTTTCACATTAATTTTCTAAAATACAGTTATTTCAAAAACAATTACGAATCCAAGTACTTCTTGAATTATGACTATAATTGAATCTAGAACTATAGTCATAAGTCATTGTAATTCAAGGCACCCATATGACTAGAAATGACATTCTGGCCTTTTTCATGGCAGTCATTAAGTGAACGCCTCAGTTGTTAAGCAAACCCACTGATTTGAATGGGTATTTCTTGCCAGAAACCAGCAAAAAATCCTGGAAGCAGGCCAAAAACATCCCGAATTTCAGTCACAGGTATATAAAGCACCATAACCAGTCATAAAGTTGACCTGTCTGACGTGGTTATGTGATTATGATGGAAGGGGTTGGTAGTGGCAGGGTATCCGTCATAACTTCAAACAGTTGTAAAACAATAAGTCATTAAGCAAGGACTACCTGTACCTGACAGGTTACTGAGGATTTGAAACTAAGCTTGATCTCTCCAATTTTAGTTCAATATTTTAACTATTATGCCCCTGTTACTCTATTAAAGATACATGAAGAAAGTTTTATTTTTTTACATGGATTATAGTTTCTTTCCTTCAGTAAGTGTTTCTACATTGTGCAAAGAAAAGCAGAATAAATATGTCATGGTAAATCTAACATTGGAATATGCCAGAAATTCTCCAATTGCTAAACTAATTATAAAACACTAATTAATGTCATAATATATGACAACTATAAGCAGATTCTAGATGTATTTACTTGTGAAGGCCGGAGGCATGTGATCACTAGTTTTAATTTTTCCAGCTGGCTTCTGACAAGCAAAATCAACGGAGAAAGCAAGAGTCACTTAACAACTGCATGACTTACTTAACAACTCCAGTGATTCACATAAAAACTATGGCAAAAAGGTCATAAAATGAGGGATAAGTCACCTAACAACTGTCTTGCTTAGTAATGAAAATTTTGGGTTTCACTGTGATTTTAAACTGAGGACTACTTACCTGTATTTTTTGTAACATTTTTTTTTAAAAGTACATATGATGACAAGTGTACAAGCAACTTCACATACTAGAGAAAGCAGAGTACAGGTCATCCCCGGGTTACGAGTGTTCCCTTAGCTAGTGATTGAGTTATGTGATAAGTGGCCCTTAGCGTTTACGAACAAGTCCCGAAATTACGAATATTGGCACCTTCATGAAAATATATGTTGTATCAACTCTGCTGCTAATCTTTTAAGCACACACCAAAGCATCCCTTTCTGAGGGATGTTTTCAAGTGTACAAGCAAGTTCATATACTAGAGAAAGCAGAGTATACCAAAACACTTAAAATAATGACAAAAATAAATTGAGGAGAAATATATAAATAGTAATAAAACATATGACTGGTCTCATTGCCAGCAGTTTAATAACATACTGCAAGGAAGTGAAATTGAAAATTGGTTAACAATCTGAAGCTATATGGAAAAGCACCATCTGAAATAGAATCATTGCTCAATACTGTCTGTATATACAGCCAAGATATTGCAATGGGGTTTGGACTAGACAAATAGCAATAGCAATAGCACTTAGAGTTGTATACCACTTCATAGTACTTTGCAGCTCTCTCTTAGCAGTTTACAGAATACGCAATTGCCCCAAATCATCTGTGTCCTCAGTTTACCGACCTTGGAAGGATGGAAGGTTGAGTCAACCTTGAACCTGTGGGACTCGAACTGCCAAAGTGCTGGCAGCCGGCAGTCAGCAGAAGTAGCCTGCAGTACTGTATACACCAACGTGGTGCAAAGGTGCCATCCTCATTATATTAGAGGAAATATAGTGAAAACTGAAGGAATCAAGCTGCCCTTTGGAAATAACATCAAGAGTCTGGATGAAGAAGATCAATACAAATATCTTGGCATCCTTCAGGCTAAAGTCAAGATGAAGTTTAGAATTGAACATACCATAATAATAAAGATCTTAAAGCCAATCTTAATGATAGACACATTATCAAGTCTACCACACCTGGACAATTCCAATCATTAGATACACAGCAAGTGGATTGGAGTCAAGCAGAATTAAAAACCCTGGATGGAAAAATAATGACAGAGAATCATCTCCTTCATCCATGCAGCAATGTTGACATACTCTACTCACCAAGGAACATAGGTGGAATGTTGTGAGTACACCAGAAGAAGAAAAAAGGACATTGGAAGAATATCTGAAGGACAGTGAAGAAGATGCACTGAAGCTAGAATATCATGAAGACAATATTTAGACAACTTAACGAAAGTTCTACATTTTACGTGAAATCTTAGCAGCAGCCTAGATATCATAAAATTAAAACAGAAATTTGTAGCAGACTGAATCCTGTTACTCCCTGTATTCTGAAAATCCAGACTCATAACTCTATTTTCAATTTATTGGATGCAATCAAATCTTGGTCCACCAATAAAGAATGGAAAAAAAATGGAATTGTTTTCACCAATATTTCAGCTCAATACTACTTTGCTAGTAGCATTTTACATAATAATATCTACTCATTAGTATGCAATTAATTGAGTCAGCAGTTCTATATTTTTTAAAATTCTTTTAAATATTCCTTTTGCACATCATTGAGTAAGAAATTGTGTGGCTGGGAGAGCATAGTTAACAAGCTGCTCATAAATCTGTTGATTTCAACATCTATACCTCAGGAAATAAATAAATATTTAAACACAGGTGAGGCTAGAATTTTCTGTCATCTCCTTGCTTTATCTATATAATCAAACTCTAAGTCTAGTTTAGCGTTTCGGGTTTAGACTAAAACTTGGCAAAAAACAAAACAAAACCATGTCATAGAACAACAGCAGTTTGTTCCAAAGGCTACAGTAAAGGGTTTCTGAAATAATGACAGCATGATAGACAATATTATAAAGAAAAGAGAACAAAGAACCATGATTTCCTGAATCATCTAGTAGTTGCTATTGGCTCACAAATTACTTAAGATAATGTAAATGTACCAAAGTTAAGACAACAATTAGGAGGGCAAATCTGATTTGGAATAAGACAGCTAAGGCTTTCTCAACTTTTGATATGAGAATTATATTCAATTTGTATTAAGATATTTAATGTCTTTAATAACTGGGTAAGACATGTTAGTTAAATTCATAAAAAAGTGCACATAATCATAAGAAAAGGAGAAAAGATACACGTGTTAATAGAGTATGACTTTTAAAAAGCTGCCAGAGGACTGTGGTCTTTGAATAGCAGCCAAGGGTAGGAGAATGGCCAACAGTGTGGAAAAAAATAATTTGAATAAATATGCATGTTAAGTACATGAAACTACAAAAATGATGAAACTGTGCAAAAATGGATAATATCCTAACCATTTATCGTGAAAGAAAGAAAGAAAAATTCCACATTGACATACTGACATTTTAAGTGTTTGTCCATTAAGGTTAACCATTCAAACTTACACATTAATCTGAAATAGTCTTCCATATTTTAGAAAATTAGAACTCCATTCCTTTTTCATTCTGAGATCCAAAACACTCCTAAAGCATTATTCTTACATACCAAATTGTTCTAAGAAAGAAACAGTGAATCAATGCAATGTACTAGACATTTATCACTATTGAAGAATCAAGAGACACAGATGAAAAAATAACATTTGATATTATCTTAGATAATTAGTCTTATCTAATTCTAGTGTTTCAGGGTATATTTTTAAATTCATGTTGTGCCTAATTTAAGAATAATTCCAGAACACAACCAAACTTGCTTGTAATTTCAAATGACAAAGAAATGATGCCCAGTGATAGATTAATGGTCATTGCATCTTCTGCCACCAATAGCCTCCCACCGACCAGTCCGCTCCACAGAGAGGGTCTCCTCAGGGTGCCATCGGCCAAGTTATGTCGGCTGGCGACACCCAGGGGGAGGGCCTTCTCTGTGGGAGCCCCAGCCCTGTGGAATGAACTGCCCCTGGAAATACATAAGATCTCCGACCTCCGGGTGTTTCGCTGCGCACTGAAGACCCTGTTGTTCTGCCAGGCCGGGCTATCAACATAATAGTTTTAAATTGGGGTATTTTAAATTTCTGGGGTTTTAATTGAGCCAAATTTATTTAATCATTTTAAATTTTAATTGCTGTTTTGTCTTGTGTTTTTAAATAGGCTGTACACCGCCCTGAGGCTTCGGGAGAAGGGCGGTATAGAAATAAAATTATTATTATTATTATTATTATTATTATTATTATTATTATTATTATTGCAACTCAGTTCCAATAAACAATACTTCTAGATACTAACTATATATAAAAACAACGTTCTCTCTCTTTCTCCTACACACACACACACACACACACACACACACACACACACACACACGTAAAGGTTAATTTATATAAAATTTACATACTTTTTTTTTTTAAAAAAAAACTTGACTGTAGCAATTTATATCTCTCTAGACCAGGGTGTCAAACTCAATTTCATTGAGGGCTGCATCACGGTTGTGTTTGACCTCAGGGGGCCAGAGTGGACATGGCCAGCTCAACGTCAGGGGGTGCCTGTGGTGGCCCAAGCACTTTGTCAGAGAAAACGGGCTCTCCTCCTGCAACCCTCCTGAGCTCTGTTTCTGCTGGCAGAGGCACTGTGGCCCAGTCCTTCACTGTTTCCCAGGTGGCCCCACGGGCCAGATCTAAGCACCCCGGGGCTGGATCTGGCACTCAGACCTTAGATTTGACATCCCAGCTCTAGACTTTTAAACTAAGCATATAATACCTAAGCAGACATTTGGGAACCTGACTTCAGATTCCAAATTGAGTCTCATAAGGATAAGTGGCACAGTGGTTAGAATGCAGTATTGTGGGTTACCAGGAGTTCGATCTCAACCAGGTCAAAGTTGACTCAGCCTTCCATCCTTCCAAAGTTGGTAAAATGAGGAGCCAGATTGTTGGGGCAATATGCAGAGAGTGGTTTACAAAGCACTATAGAGCAGTATATAAGCCTAAGTACTAATGCTATAATCAACTGAGGACACATTAAATGAATTAAGTTTTGTATTTACCCAGCAGTTCCATGGCATCATCTTCATTGTCAATATCTTCTTCTGTTACTGAAGGAGTTGTGCTGGGTAGAGAATCAAACGAATCTTGTGAAAGCATCGCAGCCAGCAATTTTTTATGTTGCTGCTGCTGATGTTTCAGTCCTTTAGTCTTCGGTTTCATCTTTAAACTAGAAATAATAGTTAATCTATTAGTCTCATTAATAGCGACTGTTTGACCAAGAGGACCTATATATTTGATAGAGAGGGAGATTAAATAAGTCAATCATCACATAATTAAGTCCTTTTGATTTTGTTAAAGCAATTTCTGTAAACAGGAGAAAGATAATATAAATTATATAATAATAATATATTAATATAATAATAATATAAATTAGAGTAAAACAAGTCATCCTGGACTGTGTAAGATAACACACATACGGTATATACATTATATCTGTAACTTGGTTATCTATACAGTTGCCATCATACAGAAGAAGACTATCAGTGGAAAACACAAGTCAATTCAGAAGAAAAATTTTAGGGGATAGGAAGATGTCTTCATCAGAGATGCCAATCCAATCATCATGGCAGACAAATGTTAGTCCCATCTTTTGGCCTACCATTATTTATTTACAAGGTGGATAGTAAAATAGTAATTGTGTTCAGGTGAATATAGTAAAATATATTCACATTAATCAGAAGCATGCTAAGCCAAGTTCCCCAACTGTGTAGAATTCAGCTGAGTAAAGATTTAAAGAACTTCTGGATAAACAGAGGAATTTGAAGTAGGAAGACTAAAATTGCCTTTACCACTTATCAGTTCTGAAACCCTATATTATGAAGTTTGATCACCGCAGTTGACATAACTGGCAGCCCTAAGTCTAACAAAGAAATTTCCCAAGAAAAAGAAAAAGACAGACAAAGGGAAAAAGAGCGAGAAAAGACCTGCAAGTATACAGGGTATATTAACATTCAGGCCCCTTAAGCCAATCACAATATGTTTTATTAATTAATACTTTTTCTGAGACAATATTACTGTACTTAGGAATGTTCAAATGTCTAAGAAGGTGTTTAGAAGAAAATGGCAAGCAATATGAATATTTAATGTAACTTATATAATAAATTGTCTACTGCAACAATGTTTTGGTATACCCTGTATATACAGTATTTAAATGCCTTGAATTAAAATATATAACCACATTACTTTAAAAATCCTATGGTTTGATATATTCTCAATTATTTTCAAGTAATAACAATTGTTATTAGGTCTCTTCATATAACCGCATGTATCTTTAGATCATTTAATATAGTAACACTTCAAGGAATTAGATTGGAAATGTTTAATCAATAATATTCTTCCGTAACTAGTTGATTTTGTAAGACTGATATCTTTGGAACTGATACAGTAAATATCTGAATAGACATCCTAAGTCAAAAATAAAATCTATGAGTACATTCTAGAAATTTTTAAACTTTATTTTTTATTTTAAAGTATTTTAAATTTTGAACTAGAATTACAGCAAAAACCAATGTTTCCCTATCATTGATGGACAAAGTCTAAATCATGATATCTCTTTTCATTCTCATTCTTGGTCAGCCCATGCCATAACTATGCACCTCCTTTCTGATTCCCTGGGCCTTTAATTTTTGTTTCATGCCTACTTTGAAACACAGCTCATTTCCCTAGGTTTGGCTTACTGGATTTGAACCTTCAAATGCAACAAATAGTGCAGTAGTATTTTATAGTACATACAAATGCATATGAATGTACAAATGGATATTCAGCTATAAATGGGAGGATGCTTTTCATCCTAGCAGAGAGAGAGGAATCTTTGCAAATGGAACTTGTCAAGATCAGACACATGATCCTGGCTTTCAAGACCCTAGTCCCATGATGGCAAACTTATTGTATGCATGCCGGAAGTGGCATGCAGAGCCATCTCTCCAGGCACGCCAGTTATTGCCCATTGCTCTTCCGGGTTCCGGCATACCGGCCAGCTGGTCTTTCCACGTGTGAGAGTGCCAGAAACTGGAAGAGCAACTGCCTGATGCGCATGTACATGCCAGGAAAGTGAGCTTCCAGTTTCCTTCGTGCATGGTGGTCTTCGCACATTTATGCGCATGTCGGAAACCGGAAGACCAGGTGACCAGTGCACATGCGCACACTGGAAACTGGAAGACCAGCTTCCCGGCGCACACATGTGTGCTGGGGAACTGTTCTTCCGGTTTCTGGGGCTCCTGCACCCACCCACGTGCGAACTCCCGTTTTGGCACAGTGCCAAAAAGGTTCACCAGCACTGCCCTTTTCGCTAGTGTGAAGAGGACCAAACTTCTTTTATTTCTTTTTCTCCTAATGATTAAGATAGGATCAAATAATAGTAATTCTGATGAGGAACACTTGACAAATGTTTATTTTTACATGTATTCCTGCCATCATTCTTATCAAGACTGATAAATTATCATCATAAGAAAAGGCAACTTCTTCCCCACCATTTAGCTTATCAGTGTTAATGCTATTGGCAAAGAAGTAGTTAAGGTACCTAAAGCTGAACAGTGGAGACTTGAAAGCCACAAGTGGCCTATGATGTGTGTGGATGCTCCAGATATGGCATAGATAACACACTAGTTTTCTTATTTTAATAAGGTCTTATTTTTCTATTATCTGCATATGTTCTTATAAAGGTATCTGAGAATATACTCAAGAAATGAATAGAAGGTCCATGCAAATGTCTGCTATGTTCTCATTCTGTATCTGTCTTAGACAAAGTAGGAAAGCTTCTTTTACAGCAAAATCAAATAAAATTAACCTGTTGTAAATGGATATGACATGGGAGACAGCTATCTCCCAATTATTCACCACAATTGGAAAATGTACCTTCCTCCAGGACTGCTACTATCTTCACTGTCCCACTGTTCCATTTTGCTTCTTGGTACTGGAGGCTGCAACATTTCATCAGCCAGTGGATCTGCATCATTTTCTTCACGTCCTATCCATTCTCCAACTACCCGAGGCCGAAGAAGTGAAGTATTAAAAGCTGCTGTTTCCTATTAGAGAGAAAACGATTTATCATTACTTATTGGCAACAATATGGATAAACATAATAAGTTCAAGCAATTCAAACACAATTGTATTTCATAGAAAGGTACAACATACATAAAGGCATCTGGAAAACACTGGAGCAGGTAAGACTGCAGTTTAACACTCCAAGAAAAAGTTAACAGCATTTCTAGATAGTTAAAATTATTCTGTCATTATGTGCCATTAAGTTGGTGTTAACTCTTAGCAATCACATAAAATAAATTTAGTCTAAGTAGATCTAGCTCGACCTGATCCTTTAGGTTTTTTAACAGGTTGCCCATTGTAATTGAGCTCATCCACTTTGTTGCTAATCATCTTCTTCTCTTTCTTGGCACCTTTACCAGCGTTATAGTCTTACAACACATTAAAACTGCATTTCTAGACCAGTTCAAAGAAACATCTATCCCTAAAGCTCCAAGATTGTGCTTTGCATTGGGACTTGTACATTTCCCTTAGAAAATCAAGCAGAGATTGTTCAATTCTCTATCCTTCTATCCTTCCTTCCTTCCTTCCTTCCTTCCTTCCTTCCTTCCTTTTCCTTTTAGATACTAGCTGCTCCTTATTAAAGATGTGCCTGTATTTGTACTTATTTTCCTCAGTCTGAACACCACTATTGTGTGCCATTTCTTTAATGAGCAAAGTAGAGTAAGAATACCCATACTGGATCTGACACATTCTTCTCTGCTGTGGACCCAAATACTATACTCACCACTAATGCATATATCACTAGACTCTGGTTGCTATAGAAAAACATAAAAACATTGCCTACAATAAAGTATCATAAAACCATATTGAACATAAAGTACAATAATTTCTCCAAATCATAAACGGATATCAAATAAGAAACGGCTGAAATCCAATTACTATTAAGCTTGGAAAGTCAGACTGAATAAAATTGTTTTTATGGCCTTGCAAAATGTCAGTAATAACATTTTGGGCCAGTGTGCTGCTCCCAAGCGTGGGGCCTGTCTACTGGTCCAGGTCCCACTTACCAAGGAGGTAGGACCTTGAGTAGGTAGATAACCTGACACAATTATTTTACTAAAGATGATCCATCACATAGTATATATAAAATACATAAAGAATGCTATCTTGTGCAATCTGCAATGAACCTGTCATATTGCTTTTCACAACCATTATCTGAGTGATCATGGTTATATGTTGCTGACAGCAAATTTTAGAATAGCACTTTGAATTTCAACCGATTTCTCCAATATCTCCTAGATGTGATAGGCCCTTCAACTTTCAAAAAATTACATAGATGATTCTTCTCAGACCTGGTGATTCCAAAATTTGTAATCATGAAATGAATGAAATATATTTTCAATTAAGAATTTAATCTACCTAAATTAAATTCTGGTAAGGATATTGCCAATGTAGCAAACTTCCCAAATTATTTTTGCATGCTTATTTTGTGAAATACAAGTTTGATGTAATTTGCTAAACATAATTCTTACCTTATTGAGCCCATCAGAAATTGCAATGCCTATAAATAGAACAATATTATACTTAATTATAAAGATAAATAAATAAAGCATAATTGCTTGTAATCTAATGTCTAGTCAAGGCCTGGTTGAAATGTAATAATGAAATTCTTTCAAATTATGTCTGAGAAAATATGCTGGCATATAATGCCTGATTACTCTCACATTACTCCCACAGCCTCTATCTCCTTGTGGGAATACCTAATGTTCTGAGTTGATTGCAATATTTGGAATTTTTAAAGCATATAATTGATGCTCTCACAAAGTGGCTGCCAATGGGTGGCTTATCTATTTATGAGATAGCTGCCATCATAAGCATAACTAGTTATAGCATACTGATTTATTAGAAAGCAATTCAATTATGTTGCTTCATGTGTCCCTTCTATCATTCTAGAGGGTTTTCTACCATCCTGTTTCTTTCTTTCTTTTTTTTTTATGAGTGGGTAGACAGTAGGATTGCAGATTGTTCAAAGGAGATGATTTGCAATCCTTGGAAAAAGGTTCAGCAAACTGCCTGTATCTGCAAAGAAATACTGCCAGGAACATTTTATGCAAGGCTTCATGCAAGGCTCAAATAAGAGAAGGGTACTTTAATTATTCAGAGAGATTCTTCATCTGCAATGTGACTTAATAGACACATGCCCCCACCCACCCCTAAAACCATTTACCATTGTTATTATCTAAGAATGCCTTCTGTTACTGGGGGTTAGTGTTTTATGCCAATTCAATATGAAAAAGTACATACATTTACAAAGGACATATATTGAATAAAAACACTTTGCTTCCAGTTGTTAATCAATTTTTAATCCTGGAAGGGTTAATTTAGCAATGAGAATACACTTCAATTCTTCAATCTCTCACAATGTGGGGGCTTGCAAGAGGTAGAAAGTATAATCAACTTTTACAGGCTTTATTTGGTTCAGAAAACCAAATAAAGCTTGTAAACACACCACAGTAACCCATTTTTGGTCATTCCCACATATGATTCCCCTCCCCCCCAAGTTTTAAATCTCTGTTATTTGTCCTTTAAAAGATATCTATTATTCCTTATTTCTCAATTATCAAGTCACTCTGCGTTTATTTGTTTGCAGTGTTTGTTCTGACTCTGATTTCTAGGATCAAGCACTTTGGTTTCATAGACCAGTTTTAGGTTCTGACTACCAAAGACATGCTGGTTTGCTTCTGCTGGTTCCTCTCTCAGGCATATCCACCAAATCAGCCTGCTTGTTAATAACATACCATATCCTTATTCTAATTCATTGAACAAATACACTGAATGTATGTATTAGCAACCATGAAACATAGACCCTTATAATTGTGTTTAGTTTGTTTTTATTTAAAATAAATGTTCATTTAATTATTTAAATTAAATATTTATTTCGAAACATATGAGTTCAGAGTGGTATTTCCATTGATCCACAGTTCAAATAACTGATATGATAGCTTTAATACAGTAAGGAAATAACGTGCGCAGTCAATTAAACTCTTTGTGTCGGTACGGTATTATTCCCTGATGTACAATAGAAAGCCTATTCAGATGGCACTTCTCTGAAATACATTACAGCATATTTTTCTAGAGGGAAAAAGGAAGAGGAGACCATAAGTGCTACAGAGTTCTATACAGAACACTTAACAATTGTGCCTATCTTTAAAACATTCTCCTATTAATGTACACTCCCTGCTTTGATAACTGTATTTACTGGAACATTTTCCTACTAACAGTTAATTTCCATTTTTATGCTTCTTCAACTTTATTTGCAAGATTCACATAATGTGTCTCTTAAAATGAAAGAAGCTTTACTTCTAGAAGCCATTTGAGATTCATTCCCAAGGGACTTACTTTCAACTAAATGCTGGTGAGTTTAATGTAACTCAGGTGATTTTTATCACAAAAGCAGAAAAGACATAAGGGGCTTACTAGATTCCCTTCTGCCATGATATTTCAAAATGTATGTTCCTCAGATGGTATCTGTTTTACTGAGAACAAAAGGCTGATAATAATGTACTTTTCTGAAATGCCAGCAGATGGCCTTATTAAAGACTGGGTGTTCTTAAATCTGTTGAATTAAACATTCTGGTTTAACGGTACAGTTAGGATCATTTTTCTCTTTTCTCTTTCAAACTGATTACAGTTGATGAAAGTAAAATGGATCATCAGAATTTGACTGTACTTCTGATGCATTCATTTTAAGAATGCTTTAGTCTACATCCAAAAACCTGTAATTCAGCAAAAAAAAAAAATCAACAGCATTATATTCTTAGAGAATTTATTTGAGTACAACTGTATAGGATATCTATAACAGAAATGCAGGAGGAGTGGCAGACCCTGGGAGGAGTCAAAAGAAGAATCAGCGCCGAGTCTTTACCTAGCCATAAATGGTCCACAATGGTTCACACTTCTTGAATCCCACAGACCCTTATCTAGAGTCAAAATAGTGCTGTTAGTTCAGTAGATTCCTATGCATAGGCATGAGTAGCAATGAATCAATTTAATTGAAACTTCATGTGTCTTTCATGTCTCATGATAAATAAAGATTTAAGTCTTCTTCAAGCATTTAAAAAATATGCCAGCATTTTGCACAAGGACAAGAGTGTGAATAATCATGTTAGCTCAATTGCAACAATGTACCAATTTCTATGTGTTTCCAGTGTGCTTCTTCCCTTGCTTTGTGTCTATACTCAAAGTACCTCTGAATGAAAAATAGCAGAGCTATTGATTTATTTATAATTTGTATGCCTATAGTGAATGAAAAAGGAATCCTGTATCAGTAAAGGCTCAAATGGGATTCTAGCAAAGCCAAAATAAGCTATATAGAATTTGCCCCCTATTTTGGTGCAATATATAGATATGGAAAAGGACTGCACTGGTGACACTAATTAATACAAACCTATGGCTCTATATATCATTATGGAATATGGCTCTCTCGGTACACATTCATATGAAAAAGTACACTTTTACACTTTTACACTGTACACTTGTGGCAATCAAAACATGTGGAAGATATAATTGCTACTGTAAAGTAATAACTTAATATGAAAAGTTGAAGATATTTGAAAAATGGTATTATTTTGATTCCTTATTGCAAAAATTCTTGTAACATTAAGCTGGCATAGTGCTCTGGAGAAGTTCAAAGAAATATTAGGATTTAGTTGCCTTTTCAATACTGAGTTCCAACATGGGCAGTATTAAATCAGAATATTATTCTGCCATCACTTCTCTAATGAGACAACAAGTTTATTACCTACAATATTCTTTGGCACATGTAACTTGATCTCTGTCCTAAAACTGGTCAATCAGCCTGAATAAACCATAGGGATTTTATAAACACGAAACATATCCAATGCATATTAGAAATAAAAATGGAATGAAGTATTGCAGTAAAAAAAGATACTACACTTCAGTAACTGCAACATAAAATTAAATTTAGTTTACTATAAAATGCATTGTAGCAAATTTCAGCCATAAAAACATTTATAATAGCACAAAACTGATAGGACGACAAATATAAAAAAGAATATATCTAGAGATTTTGCTGGCATACTAGAACTCAAGTACAATACACCAATCTGTCATTGCAAAGTATCATTCAATGTCATCTTAATCAGCTACTGCTTTTCGAGAAATTACATAAAGACATAAAATTCTTTTAAAAGTGAATAGAGGAGGAAGGGACTGAAAGGCTCAGAACAGGGGTAAAATTCAGCAGGTTCTGACAGGTTCTGGAGAACCGGTAGCAGAAATTTTGAGTAGTTCAGAGAACCGGCAAATACCACCTCTGGCTGGCCCCAGAGTTGGGTGGGAATGGAGATTTCACAATATCCTTCCCCCAGGAGTGGGGAGGGAATGGGAGTTTAGCAGTATCCTTCCCCTGTGACGCCCACCAAGCCACCAAGCCACGCCCACAGACCCAGTAGTAAAAAAAACTGAATTTCACCACTGGCTCAGATGGATGCTTTTTAACTTTACAATTAAATTTGATCCATTTCTCTATTTTTTGGACTAGTTTTTCAAAACTCTTAAACAGCTGGAAGTTTTTCATAAATCTTAAAAATGTTGATTTTTTTTAAAAAATGAAGTGCAAACCATCTTTTGAGTGTCATCTAATGTCCTTTAAACTGTGCAGAGAAATATTCAGACTTAATTCTGTTACTATGTTTATCACAAACTGTTGGTACTATCTTTAAGTTTATTTTAATGAAACACTTGTAAAATGTGTATTGCCTTCACTAAAATTATTTCTAATCTTTGTGTCATAGGATTATGCTTCTTCAGTACATGCCTGACGTGTTGATCAACTTACTTTGAGAAAGATTTTCGAGAGCTTTGCCAAGTTTCTTACTTTCTTGAAGGATATGATTTAATTCATCAAAATCATGATGCTCTGACTTTGACTTAAAGTCCCATTTCAGGTGTCCTACTGATCGTGGCACTAAATAAAATAAAGCACAATTTCAGGTTATAAATACCTGGGAAAAAATCTGGCTTCCACATGTGCTAAACTATCTTACCAATGCTCACTTACATGTTGCTTAGTCAATATCTTAAAACTGAAACTAGCTTTGTAGCTTTGTTTCTATAGAAACTGGTTTTCACATCTTTATGAGCATGCAATCATTTCTAAACATGCTGAATTTAAATAATTAAAACTCAATCTTTCTAATTATGTTACAGTGAAAATTGAAGTAAGTCTTCTTTTCAGAAAGTCTTCTGCAAAGTATTCTGGCAGAAAAAACACTACAAGAGGATTCATTTTTTTAAGAAACAAGAAGTTTACATATATTAAGAAGCAAAATTTTAACCATAATATTTATTTTTACTACTAAGATCTGAAGTGAAATATTGAAATGCTCTTGCTAGTTAGATGTCATTTCAAGATTCTCCAATACATTCTTTCCTTCCCCAATTCACTATTGGGTTTTTCCCCCCAGACCAATAGCATTCTGTAGTTACTGAGTATGCTCAATCCTCATTGGTTTGTTTGGGAATTGTTAAGTGTATGTATGTATGTATGTATGTATGTATGTATGTATGTATGTTTGTTTGTTTGTTTGTATTAAAGTAAGCATGCAAATAAATAAAATTAGGATTATTTGCTTATTTCATCACCTTGGTTTTGTATGTAACAGTTCATAGGAGTTTTCATCATTAAAATGTGATGAAATAAATGATGTGGGATTACAGGGACAATAGTAGAGTCTTTTTTTATTTCCAGAATAATAACCCACTTTTCTGATTGGAAATTACTTTGGCTTTCTTCTTCCTTTCCATTAACTCAGCAAAATAAAAGTCCTATAACCATGTGATATAAACCCATGGAATAGATCTTCTCCCTTTAATGCTTAACTTCAAAGAACTGGGATGACAATAATATAAACTTTAGAAGATCCTGAATGATGAGACAAGAGCCCATCAAGTCTAGTATTCTTCTGATTTATAATAGCCAAGCATTTCTAGACAAGCTCATAAATATGGACAAGATGACAATAGATCATATCTACTGTTGCTTTCTGTCTGCTAGTATTCAAATTATGATGCCTGAGATTATAGAGACAGTAAAATAGCCATTGACAGCTTGATCTGCCGTGAATTTTTTCATTTACATCCCCTTCTCTGATGGCAGAATATTCAACAGTTCAAGAAATATTTCTCCTAAATCTTTCATACATTTGTAAATGGTGGGGGACGGGACTCTATCCACATTTTTCATATCATAGGTATTATTTATTTATTTATTTATTGATTGATTGATTGATTGATTCAATTTGTATGCCACCCTCTCCGAAGACTCAGTAAAATGTATTACAGTAATATGTACAGGTATTTTCATATTGTGAGCATTACAGTACCCACAAATTTAAGTAGAAGGAATAAAAAGCTCCTTTCACATGACTTGAGGCTTTTTAAATTACTCCCACAAGTAAAAATAACCATGAATCTGCAAATCTTTTACTGACAAGGTAACAGGAGATTTTTTTTTCTTCAATTCACAATTTTAAATTAATTCCAATTCCAGTTTCAACTGCATAAAGTAAAATGCCTTCAACAAAAGTAGCACCAGCTCATTAAGAATTGCAATGATTACTATAGTATTTTTTACTGAATGTTTAGGGCACAGGTGTCAAACTCGTGGTATCATGTTGCCGTCTCATGATGTTTTTCCTCCTCGCGGAGCTGTAGTGGGCTTAGCCTGCGTGTGACGCATCTGGCCCACGAGCCGCCAGTTTGACACCCCTGTTCTAGGTTTACTCATTACTCATTACTAATATTTTCAAAACTTTTCCTGAATCCTATTATTCAGCATTTATTATAGCCAGCCCTGAAGTTGGCTAATTCTCCTGCTATAATTCTTGAATTATTATCTTTTACATCAGATGCAATGCCTCCCAAGTAATATAAGAAACATAATATATTAATATCAAGAAGGAATTTTAGGGCTTTTCTTGTTTCTTATTGTAATGAACTACTTTATTCTTTTTACATTTTTTCTATGCATGTACTTAGGTTAGGTTTCTTTATTTCTAAAAAAAATTCTGCTATGTGGTTTTCGATATGTAAAAACATCAGATTAAAATTTAGGTACATAATGGAGTTAAACAAAAACCATGTTTTCAAGAATCTACACTGACATTCTAATTCCAATTTAACCATAGGCCAAACAAATGTATCCATGTTCTATAAAGGGAAAGTAGAGGCTGACCTCAGTTGGAGCATTTGATACTTGAAAGAGTACAGTACGTCTACACAAATGCATTATCTCATACATATCCAAATGAATATGTATAACATGAATCCTGCAGTCTGAATATTGATTAGGCAGGCAATAATATTTGAACCGCACTTCGTCATAAGCAATACCATTGTATTATTATTCTACATGATTCAGGCCGCTGAAAATCACAAGATAGAGCAGGCATACATTTATTAAATAAATTTAAAAATTAAGTTTATAGACACCCCCACAGAAACATGAAAATCAAAATATCAGTATAGAAGCTGGGGGAAAAAAATCACAAACTATATTTAATACTTCCTTACATGATTTAGAATCTGGTGATGGAGGAGAAATGCTGGATACTGCAAGGTCACTTTTTGATTTTTTAGGCTTCTTTGCATTTGTCTTCCAGGGTTTATCATAACTTCTGAAATCCCTTCTGGCTCCCTTATGTTCTGATGGAAAAATATATTTGCTTAAATTTTTCCAAACATAAAGAAATCATAACTCCACAAATAAAATAATAATAATTATATAGCACTGTTTTAATGTCATAACATTGCTATGAACAAATATTTTCATTCTACAAAATTATGACACTCTTTTGATTTTCATTTATGTATGCCTTTCATAGATGTTCATGAAAAAAAATAAACCACGTAGTTCAAAACTGCATTTGCATAATAGCTTTTTCATAATACAAAATATATTCAAGTATAGTAAAGAGACATGAAGGACTCTTTTTGAACATAACCATGTAACCAAATAACCATGTAGGTCGCTACTTCTTTAATGTTTTTGTTTTTTTTAAAAAACTCTTGGCATTTACCGGTATAACTCTGTTAAAAAGATCCACAGGTAGAATGAAATACTGATCTATGTCTTTAGTTTATCACCATTATCAGATAGCCAGGACGGACTGTAAATTTACATCTGGACGTTAGGAGGGATATTCAAAGAGGAATTTCTTTAAGTATACCTATTAATATGTGATGACTTCTTCTGACTTGGATTTCCAACTGAGGGACATCCAGATTGTATGGTTTCATTGTCACTTAATAACTGATGAATTAATGTGAAGATATTAGGCTGAAATAAAGAGTACTTGATTTATAATCCCAGGTAAACTTAGGGATAAGTAATTTAATAAATTAAATGTGGACAGACGTAAGTATTTTGGATATACAAAACATATGATCTCTAGGCAGGTAAGATTTAATAAAAACATAACAATTTTGATAAACAGTGATTACAAAAAGTGTTCACTTAGATTCCCCAATGAATAATTTTTGTTCTACATACCTGAAGCTTCACTCTCTGCCCAAAGAGCAGCAGATCCAGACAAAGTTCTCTGAATGTGGCCGTGATTCCCTTGTTTGGACTGAAGATAGTCAATGAGAAATGGAATTGGATGATCAGGAGTCTCTGTTATTAGCTTGGTCATCAGTTCCTTAAAAACATCAAGTGAAGATGTGTCAAATCATATAAGAAGTTCATCTTGTTTCAGTGGAAGTTCGATAATTAATTTTCTCATTAATCAAACCCTCCTTTAGCCTTTTTTTTTTTACAAAAAAGGTAAAATATTTGAATGCCTGAAAGATTATGACAAAACTATGTATTATTGAAACCAGCCTCAAAGAGAGCAAAGCTGCCAAAGAAAAACTGAATCAGAAGTGCAGAATTCTGAGCCACATAATTTATTTTTTACTTTAAATAAAAGCAAAAAACCTATGAATTCTTCTCCTTTAACCATATGAAAAGTCCAGAAGTTATTTAATTGGCAGAAAGGGCTAGCTGGATTCAGTACATTCTTTGTTTGAATATGGTTTGTGGAGTAAGTTTCAAAGAGCAGAAAATCATAAACCATGGTTTAAAGCCCACTTTGATTAGAATCAAGCATTGCTTGCTGTAAATCCAGTTAATAATTCAACTCGTTTGGTTTATGTAAAAATTATTTTTATTAAAATGATCATATGCTTTTCTTCATTTGTATATTTTTCAAAATCAGTCTATAAAATGTTCAAGGAAATAATTTATTCTTTAATAAGTACCTGACAACTTCCAGCTCCCAGCATAGAAAGGACTTAATTCTTTGCATGCAAATTCATTATTCCAGATAATTATGTAACCTTCTCTTTTATTGCAACATTTTGTTCCCTGGATTTCACCTTGTTGAAACCACTATCTACATGCTTTAAAAAAAACCTAATGCTTTGAAAGGATTTTTGCAAATGTGTTTCTCAGTTAAAGTGCTTTACTGCTCTCTTTTAGTAATCTTTTCCTTTTTGCATTTCATTATCTTTCAACACCAACAACCTGTAAATCATCAAGAAAATCCAGCTCACAGGACTATCAAATCCCTCAAACTGACTTAGTTCAACTAGTTATGATATTTTCTACATATAGAATCCTGTGTCAAGCACATTTAATTTAAAATATTACCTTTTCTCTTTTTAAAAATGATAGAATAGTTTACTCTGATTTATTTATGGTTTTTATTATTTCATAAGTAATGAAATACATTCCGTGCCTACACAATTATTCTTAGTGAACACATGGTACCCCAATGAATTCTTTTCATTCTTGGAAGAAGAATGTTGCAGTAGCTTGCTCATTTGTTCAAACGTTCACATATCTATGGGAGTAAGCATGTAGGTGTAGATGTTTGTGCAAACACCCACCCACCAATTTTCCTTCTCTATACTGGGCCAACACTGCAGATATTTTGTCTATAAAGCATAATGTTGTATTTTGATTATTACTCTCTTCTACCTGTCTTTCTGTCCTTTATGAAAACAGGAGGAACAGCATCCATATTTCTTCTCTTGGCTTAAGACAACTATAGTATATTTTTAAAGCGTGGAGTAGTTCTGCCTTCCTGAAAGCCCCAAGAGAACCCTGCAACATATACAGAAACTAGCCTTGGGACTAACCATCAGCTTTGAACAGCAAGAATAGACAAAGGAATGGATGGATAAGATAGTGAAAAGAGTAGGACAATAGTGCTGGATGAACTGAGATGAATATATGAGCAACATCCAGGGCAGTTATAATATGCATACCATTGTAACGCTTGCAGTGATTCCTAGAAGTAAACACCCAGCCTAGAAACATGGTATTTCATCTACACTATTCATCCAATTGATTGAAAAGAAAAGTGATTCAACTGTTTCAGACATGCAGCTTTTCTTCAATTTGCCTTTCTCCTAATATCACATTTCCCCCATAATTAGATTGACCGGTAACTTCCTTTTAACAGGATCTTGAAACAGATTTCTAAACATCCAACTTCTCAAATTGTACAGAGAAAACAAATGTCTGTACAGAAAGTTTTGCTAGCCTTAAGTATTTCTTATCTGACCTTGTAAACCAATATGCCAGACAGGCTGTCCATGTCACGTTGGGTGGCCAAGCATTTTATATAAATATATTATTACTGGTTTGTCACACAGTCAGCCAAATGTTTGGACAAGATTTGGCATTTTTGAATACCTATTGAGTCCTTCCCAAAGACCTGGGATAGGCAGATGCTATCTTCAATGGTGTTAAAGGTATTGTCGCAGGATATAAGCTGTTGCATCAAGAAAAGCTGCTTTTGCAGCTGACGGATGGTGATTTTGTCAATGCTGATAGTTTTCAAGTGGTGATCTAACTCTTTGGGGAGTTCATCTAAGGCGCCTATTACTGTTGTTACCACCTTTGCTTTCTTTTGTCACGATCATTCTATCTCTATTTGGAAGTCTTTGTATTTTGTGATTGCTTAGGAGAGCAACCAGATATTCAAAGCATTTCAGAAAGTTGCATATCTCTAATAAAATCAATCTAAAACATGTTAAGAAGTTGCTTTCTCTCTTAGCCCCTAAAACAGGAGTGTCAAACTCGCAGCATCATGATGGTGTCATGTGATGTATTGGGACTTTTTCTCCCTTCGCTAAATCGGGTGGGACCAGCATGTAACACATCTGGTCCGTGGGCCATGAGTTTGACACCCCTGACCTAAAACATCCCAGTAATATCGCCACTATCAGCCTCAGGTACATTGGTTGCAATTTTTTTCTGATCATCTAAAATGGTATTTTTAGACTAAAGGAGAAATGTGAAGATTCTGGCTTCAATGTATTTCTAAAAGCCATTACTTCAGCATCCTGCAGGCACAGAGTTTTGCTCTAAAATATATTTCAGATGTTTTCAAAGTGCTAAATGAAAGAAAAATTAAAATGCAAATGGTTCAGAATTGAATTTCACATAGAAATAAAACCTCATTAATTCTACAATAAGAAAACCATTATCAATTCAGGAAAAAACTGCAGTCTTCCCATTAAGCATATCCTTCAGTTCCATTTTCCTAAGGTTAAAAAAATGAAACAGACCCCTTAACAATTCAGTAAGTAATAGATAGGGACAAAAAGAGACACTATAAGACTACATAAAATGTTATACATTTTATCTGTTAATTTCATACCTTCTACTCCTAAATGTTTGTCAAACTAAACTTGGATAAAAATGTTTAAACATTCCTGGTCAAATTGAATGTTCTAATGTATCACTGAAACATTTAATGTCAACAGTGATGCCTAAAATTTTATATACGATATATGTATAGTTTATATATCATAACATTTCATTATTTCTATATCAACTGGTAATTTCAGTGATGAGATAAAAATATAGGGAGCTATTTCACAATGAATTAGAATACCGATCACTCTTTATCAGATTACCAATACTGGGATAAGTAACTTGGTAGCATCTAGTTTTCTTTGATAGCACTTGCACTAGCAATAGCACTTATATATCACTTCATGGTGTTTTACAGCAATGTCTAAGCGGTTTACAAAGTCAGGATATGGCTCCCAACAACCTGGGTCCTCATTTTACCAACCTCAGAAGGATGGAAAGCTTGAGCCAGTCAGGAATGGTCTGTGGACAGAAGTAGCCTGCAATATGTGCCTTCTAACCACTCTGCCACCACGGCTAAATTACAAATTTCACAATTCTTTGTACTAAATTATGTTAAAGAAGACCAATGAGAATTAAAATCTAAAACATTTGGGGTAACCAAGTTCCTAACTTCTGGTCTACATTTACTTGCATAGCTTTTTGCATAGCAGAGGGGATCTCTGGGGTGTTGGAGAGCCGGAGTATTGTGGTTGTGACTGGGAGAGGTAGAAATGGCAGGAGCCGAGGGGTAGGCTGCTCTCGGGGAACTATGACTCACTGTCTCAAAGTGATTACTTGTTCCGGCCCCTATGGTTCTGGTTCACCGGGCTCGTCTCGTATACCTGGTGACTTGGGATGTCAGGGCCCTGGCCTCAGGCTGCTGCTGTTTAATGCCAGATCTGTTGTTAACAAAGGCCCCCCTCATTCGGGACTTAATCCTGGAGGAGAGGACTGACCTGGCATGCATAACTGAGACCTGGCTGGACCAGGAGGGGGGTGTGCCCCTCTCAGAGATGTGCCCAGACGGGTTCCAGATATTGCATCAGCCACAACTCCAGGGAAGGGGTGAAGGAGTGGCAGCTATTGTCCAGAAGAGTCTTTGCTCTCGCAGGATCCCTGCCCCTGAGATTGTTGGGTGTGAGTTTCTCCTCTTGAGGTTGGACTCAGGGGTTCAGCTGGGCTTGTTGCTGACGTACCTGTCTCCCAGCTGCATTACAACAGCCCTGCCTGTGCTGCTAGAGGCGGTAGCCAGGCTGGTGGTAGAGTTCCCCAGGCTTATGGTATTGGGGGACTTCAATTTGCCCTCACTTGGCGAATCCTCAGATGTGGCTCAGGAGTTCATGGCTTCCATGACAACTGTGGACCTAACCCAAGTAGTTCAGGGTCTGACTCATAGGGGGGGACACACACTTGACCTGTTGTTTCTCTCGGGGCAGTGGAGATATGATCTGGAATTAAGGGGTATAGATGCTTCTCCCTTGTCGTGGTCAGATCATTTCCTGCTGAGGTTAGACTTGAGGACGCTACTCCTCCATCGCAGGGAGGCGGAACCGATTAAGTGGTTCTGCCCCAGGCTCCTAATGGACCCTGAAGGGTTCCAGAAGGAGCTTGGGGAGATACCTGACTCCCTTGTCCACAGTCCGGCTGAGTCCCTGGTGGCTGCCTGGAATAGGGCAGCATCTGGGGCACTGGACCGGATTGCACCTTTGCGACCTCTCCATGGCAGTGGATCCAGGAAAGCTCCCTGGTTTACCAAGGAACTCCGGGAGATGAAGCGCCAGAAGAGACGTCTAGAGCAACGCTGGAGGACCAGTAACTCCAAATCTGACCGAACACTCTTAAGAGCCTTTATTAGGACTTATTTAGTGGCGATACGGGTGGCAAAATTTTCGCATTTTTCTACACTTATTGCATCCGCTGATTCGCGCCCAGCCGCCCTATTTAGGGTGACTCGCTCCCACCTTAATGTAGGGGGAGTTGAGGAGCCCTTGCAGGGTAGAGCTGAGGAGT